GAATTATATTCCATTGCATGCATGTATATATCACATTTTATTTATCTGTTCATGGACACTTGGGTTGCTTCTATCCAGAAAGTAATGTTGCTATGAATGTGGGTGTTCAAATATCTCTTTAACAAACATAATGTTTAAACAAATTAGCAAAATAATCAATGAAAATGAATTAATGAATGACATCACCAGCCTTCTGTATAGCTGAGTGCTATATGATCATATTGGGAGATGCTGGAGTGGAAGGGATGGACAGAAGAGAGGGTACCAAAAGGAGCATTATTTCTTTGATGATTCTATCTGGGGTTGATCCTGCTTGGAACCTAGCTTGTATTGCTCTGTGCAACAGCTCTTGTATGATTTCTAAAAGTGCCCTCCCACTGTGGTTTCATAAATCCTTCTTATGCTAATTTGCCCTGAAGTGCTGATCTTTACCAGGGCATAAATTATTGAAGCAGTTGTGGTCAGCAAAGAGAAGGATAGTGAAACCCACCTGAGCCTTCCAAAGCAAATATCCAGACACCTTGTCTGAGTTCCAGAAGTCTGAAACAAGTCTGACCAAGCCATCCAAGGCAGGAAGTCATTTAACGGCTAAAATGGCTACCCACTTCCTGAGCAAGGTGGAGGAATCCAGGATGCAATGAGAGAAGCCTCACATCTTTTCACTGTTGCAAGTTTTCCGGCCTTTTTCCCTGACCAGGACTGTGGGGAAGCCACAAGAATAGAAAGTTATTCACAAAGACTGGCTGAAGCCATTTTTAGATGTTCACTCTCAGGCAGGAGGATCTATTAGTATCTGTGTAAAGAGGGCCAGAGCTGGCATTGCGAAATTGCGTATTGCATTTGGTCTGGCAAGGGATGTGATATTCTTTACTATTTGAATAAGGGGCGGAACCCCTTAGTGTTGCGGCACTGTCAGTGTATGAGATAGGATGTCTGTCAAAGTAGGCTGAGCTCTAAGAAGCTTGACTTACATTTCCTTAGAGGTGTTGAAGAACAGACAGGCTGAAAACAAAACAAAACAAAATTATATATATCAGTCGTTTCATTTATAAAGTCCCTGCAGTTCCTAGTTTGAAGCAAGGGAAAACAAAGCAAATATCCGGCTAGAAAAGTGTACTTGAAAGCTAGAAGGCTGGGGTAAATAAAAAAAGTTAGAAAACACTGCTTTGAAAATTTCAAAGGCAAATGTAAAGGAAGAGACAGATGCTTTTAAAAAGCATTTAAATGTATTTTATATATTTAGGAGGCACAAGGGCAGGTTTTTTACATGGACGTGTTGCATGGTGGTGAAGTCTGGGCTTGTCGTGTACCCATCCCTTGAACAGTGAAGACTGTACACAACAGGGAATTTTTTAGCCCTCACCCCGCTCCCATCCTCCCACATTTTGTAGTCTTCAGTGCCTATGATTCTACATAGTATGTCCATGTGTACCCAGACCGATGCTTTTTGCTTTTTCTTTTCTTTCTTCACTTGTTTCACTGTTCAACCACTCAAGCACAGAGCTGACAGTGAGCGAGACTGTTTCAAGGCATAAGTCGGCCATTTAAAGGTGGTTTCAACCATGGGCATATTAGTCTTTTTTGAGCACCAGTTTTCTCATTTGTAACACAGAGATTATAATAAGAGAATTTGCCTTGTATTTACCTTTACTTATATTTACATGGATTATAAAGATGATAAAGATTATAAAGAAGTACTTAGCATAGTGAGCCACACACAAGCCTCCGATTAAGTTAGCTATCATTCTTATTAGTCTCCTCAGAAAAATTACAAAGTGCAAAATTGTGCTGCAAAATGTTAAAGCTTCGCTGGAAACAAGAGGATTTTATAAACAGGCCCAGGAGAGTCAGAATGTTCCTTTCAGGCATAGCCAGTCATCAGCACGTATTGATTAAGCACCAGGACATGCCAGTAGTGTTCTGGATGTTATACAAATGAGGAAAGTAAACACAACGTCCAAGTCACGTGGCGTCACTACCTACAAATACAGAGGCACGTCAAGGGGTGTTTTGTGAATGTGTGGTGTGTGCAAAACACTGCTGGCGTGACCTTCACAGGTTCTTACACAAGAAAATAAAAAATTTGACCCCATTTTTAGGAAACAGATGTGGATTGATTTTATGCAACCTTAAAGGATGCAAAATGGGTCACAAAGAGAGAGAGAAAGAATGTTACCGAATGAATGACAGGGATATTTTCTTATAAGAGGAACTGCTCTCTCTGCCTGGAACAATTTTTGCCCAGATATTTGCTTGGATGGCTTTTTGTCAGTTAGGTCTTGGCTCAAATGTCACTACCTCACAGGGACCTTCCCTAGGCAGCCAATCTAAATTAAACCCATCCTCATATCCTTCTAATGCTCTAGCCTTCTTTTGTTTTCTTTTAGCACTTATTCTGCTCTGAAATTACCTTATTCATATATTTGTTGAATTATTTACTGTCCAACCTCCCCTACAAGAATACACACAAATCACATGTGCCTTGTTTGTCACCATACCCTAGAGCCTGGCTCACAGCGGGCACTTGATAAATAGCTGAATGAGGAAACAATTGGATAATTGGGGCTCAGTGGCTTTTTTTTTTTTTTTTAAATATAGCTTGCCTTTTTTTTGTGATGATTTGGTTAGTAAATCTCAATTCGTCAGGTCATTCTGGCTTCTTGCTACTGCACAAGAGACATCAGGTCATTGGAAACTTAAAGATGAGTCCCTTAACTGTACTATCTTGCTTTTGAAACAAACACACTTTTATGCTTTTATGAATTCGTTAGGGCTGCCATACAAACACCACAAACTAGGTGCCTTAAACAACAGATATTTCTTGTCTTACAGTTCTGGAGGCTAGAAGTCCAAGGTTAAGGTGTTGGCAGGGTTGGTTCCTTCTGAGAGCTGCAAAGAATTTGTTCCATGCCTCTCTTCTCCCTAGGTGGTTTGCTGGCAATCTTTGGCATTCCTTAGCTTGTGGAAGTATCACTCCATCTCTGCCCTGACTTTTACATGGCGTTCTTCCTTGTGTGCATGTCTATCTCCGAATTTCCCCTTTTTATAAGGACACAGTCATACTGGATTCAGGTTCATTCTAAATACTTCATTTAATTTAATTCTATAAAGGCCGTATCTCCAAATAATGTCACATTCTGTGGTACTGGGGGTTAAGACTTAAACAAAAAAATTTTAAGGAGACAAAGTTGAATCCCTAACAATACTGAACATCCAGGATGGAAGAACATGGTATTAGGTTGAGCCAAACAGTTGCTTATGTTTTTGTTTTTCCTCGCCAGGACAAGAAACCCCCAGTGCAGGAAAATTGCAGATATGAAAAAAAGGGCTTAAGTAAACACACAGATCTTTGCCAGAACCATGTTTGTCACACAGTATGGAAGTAACAAATATTTGGTAAATGAACGAATGTGGACTTGTTCTTCTAAATGACTTGCTCCCTCACTTCTTCCAAGTCTTGGTTCAGATACTACCTTCTCGGTGGGAACTAGCCTGACTACTATTCCTAAAACCACCATCTCCCCAGTACTCAACTTCTTTTCTCTTACTTTCTTTCTCTCTATAACACTGACCACCTTCTACCAAACTCTGTAATTCACTTACTTGTCATGTTAATTGCCCATCTCTCCCTACTAGAAGGTAAGTTCCATGAACTCAGGAACTTTCACTGTTGTGTTTCCTTCTGTATGTACCAGCGCTTGTTACAGTGCCTGACACAGAGTAGGCCCTCAGTTTTGCTGAGTGAATGAATGAATGAATGTTGTTGAGAAAGAGCTCTGGAGACTCCTGGCATGCTGTTTCAGGTGTTGCTTGGATCTCCCCTTAACCGTCACAGAATTTCAATGCTAGTCTTTAAAGGAAATCTCAAAGATCAAGCCCCTATCTCCAAACCTTGAATTCTCTTAAACTGGTGACATCTTGATAACAGATTGCCTTTGAATGTAGAACCCTCATTTTAATAATAAGAGAGTAAGAGATTGAAACTGTTTAACAAATAAAATGTGCAGTGTGTACGGTATGTGTGGTACGGGGAACAGAAGCAGAAAGCCTGCCATACGTTAGTTTAAGGGGTAGACTAAGAGAAGGGCGAATATACTTTGGAGTGCAGCGGGGGCAGGATGGCACATAATTGTATGTCAATGCAGAGTAAAAGGACCAGAAGATGATAAGCCAAACCAATGATAGTGAGCAGCATAGTGGTACGGAGCAACGCTTTCTAACTTTATGCATGTACCAGCCACTTGGGGATCTTGTTGAAATGAAGATTCTGGTTCTTGGGTGGGGCCTGAAAGTCTGCAGTTCTAAAGTGTTCTCAAGGGACGGCTCTACGGAGCCATGCTTTGAATACTAAAGAGCACGGATTTACTAGTTACCTGTGTAATCTTCAGTAAACGATTTTTCTCTGTGCTTCCATTTTCTCATCTATAAAATGGAGATCAGATGAAGTAATCCCACTAAAATGAATACCACTGAGTGTCACTGATTATCAGTTACTTCACTTGCGGAAGAGTGGAGGGCATGACTGGGGATGGAGCTAGAGGAGGGAGTCACAGAAGTCTTAGCTGTATTTTATACATTTAAAAATAAAAGTATTCAGGTATTGATACGTGGGCCGGGTTTTCTCCTCTTTTTTACAAGCACATTACACGCGAAGCCAGATTAGTTCATGAATGTGCTACAGCACAGGGTGGCTAAGAAATCCTCCTTGCAAACTGCTTTGGGTCCTGCGTGGGGAATGGTTTCAATTGACAGCCGAACCCTAAATCCCTTTTAGAGATTTTAGGCGTTTATGCGGAGCTCAACGCGACTCTCAGGTATTCAGGAAGACTACCTTTTGCTCAGCACCTGCGGAGTGGTGGCCACAGCGAGGCGCTCGGGAGAGGCTCCCGGAGGCCGGCAGGTGGGGCGCGCCGGCGGAGCAGGGGTGCGGGGCGGGGAGAGGGCCGGCCCACGTGGACCGCGGGGCCAGGCAGGGGCAGGAGCAGCCGGTCGGCCGGGCCAATCAGCGCGTTCCGCGGCGGCCCGGCCCCTCCTGACCAGCGCACTAGCTGTGCTCGGCCCCGCACTGCTAGCTGCGCGCCGCCCCGGACGGGGCGCACAGACTGCGCGCGCGGCTTCGGGCGAACATCGGGAGTCCAGCCTCAGCCGCCTCTCCGCAGACGCTGCTTCTCCAGCAGCAGCTTCGGGCTTCTCTTGGTAGAGACGTGGGAACTTTCCTTCTTCTGGCGAGGCTGCAGAGGTGATGGGCCGCTCTCGGGGCGCCCGCAGGGAGGCGGCACGGTGAGCGTCCTCTGGCTCCGGTGTGGCGATCGGTGCCTAGTTCCGGACTCGCCGGTCCGACTTGGATGCCGGCTCTAGTCGAGTAAGAAGGGTTGGAAAGGATAAGGAGGGGCGAGAGGATGGGGTGGGGGTGGATTTGGACCCTGTATTTAGGTGCTGTCTCGTGGGCAGCCGCTGCCTGTCGGGCTGGTACCGACTTAACTCAGCTCGGTGCAGCTCCCCTCATCCCGGCTCTCTGGGGTGCTGGGGCGACTGCCTGTGCTGAGGTCGGCGTGCAACCTGAAGTTGGAAGCGGCGCTCCGAAGTATGGATGTGTGGCTGGAGAGAGGCAGCGGCTGCTTCCAGTTTCGGGGTTCGTGACTGACAATCAGAATCCCCGGGGTGCTCTGCTGATGCGGAGGAGGCCACTCGATGAATTAATATAGGGGGTGGTGAACTCGCCGTGAGCTCTTTTCTGGACAAGCCGACCTTAGCTCTTCATCCCTTTAATCTGAGCTAGGATCCTTATAGGAGCAAGCAGGTGGGAGCAGGTCAGCGTCCCCCCGCCCCCACCCTGAAGCGCTGGTTGCTGGGATCTTGCTGGAAGGGCGCCGCGAGCGCTCGGGACGCGTCTTCCAGCTGGGAGCGCAAAGCTTCCCGCCCAAGTGGAGAACTGGAGCGGGTCTGGAAGTTGCGTCTCTTTCCGCGGGAGGCATCTCTACATTTCTTTCTCTCGTTTTCCCTCTGCCCTGTTAATCCGCTCCTAGAAGAGAGGGCATCTTTGACTCTAAGCAAGGAGCTCGGGGGAGGATTGGAACTGGAAAGCTTGATCTTCTGCACCTGGGGAGGCTGCCGAAGCCAGACACAGTGCCGCTGGTGCGTTTTCTTCTTGAATCACCATCATTTAACTTTTGGGGGCTCCACGGAGCCTTAGTCAAGCTGTGAATCAGCTCCTAAGCAGTATGTACCTGCACGGGTTCACGGACTCGCGGAGACCTAGCCTGGTGCCCATCCCCCCTCACCGAGATTCAGGGACCCCCTTTGGTGAAACATCTTTATCCCTGAGCTCTTTTCTCTTTTAACTTTTCAATGGTCTTCCTTCTGAGACAAGCAAGGTTGATGTGATGTGACAGGCGATCCCCCTATGTGGGGATGGGCGCGTTCGAAGCCTTGGTCAGTTTCTGTGTTTAATATCCTTGGCATAAAGCTTGTCCACCACAACCCGGAGCTGCCACCTGCAGACTCGGTCACTCAAACTTGTGCACATTGATGGCCTAGGTTTCTAATCACACGCATCTTCTTTTGGCCCCCTCTAGAACACTCGCTGAGGAGGGAAGAGGTGGGGGCAGTTTGTCTGTCTGAGCCCAGTTCAGGAAGGCCTTGGAATTTTTTAAAGGCTAAAATAATTTAGGAACAGCCATTTTGCAATATAATTAGTGTTTCCACTCAGTCACTGAGAACAAATGTATGACCTGGAGAATTCTTCAATAGCTCGCGTGGGTTTTATAGTGAGAAGAATTTCTGCTAAGTTTATAGTCCTATCAGTGTGAAAGCCCAACACTTCCTTTAGGTGGGAAATACAGGCCTTAATAAGGTAGTATGAGAGCAGTTTTCAGAATCGTTATGACTAATGATGACTTATGTCCTCCCAAAATGACCGAGTGAATTGGTATGGCTCATTTGTGCAAAAAGCTGTCTTCATATGTGTGGACGTTTCTTGATCAATATTCTCATAGCAGAAAGCTGTATTTCAAGGTTTCCTTCCTAAGTTCTTCTGTCTCATTGTTCCGCTTTGCGTGACTTTGCTTTCATCCCTCAGTACCATCTTAACTGCCCTTTGACACTTTAAAATTTATTATAAGGCTTCAAGTCACAATTTGACTTGGCCAGTTTTCCCTGCTAAAGATAAGAAAGTTGCCCTGTCCAGAAAAGCAGGGGCTGCCAATTTATCTATCTTTGAATGACTTTAATTGTATTGCTTGTTCCCTTAGCACACACAAAAAAATCCTACAAATATCTCTGCTTGATTATTGGATATTTTTCATTGAAGGCAACCATTTTTATATGTCTAGTACTAGGATGTTCTAGGTCACTTGAATTTCAATATTCATTTTCTGATCTTTTTAGACATGTGTATTGTTTGATGACCTAGTTCCACTTAGTAATTAAAAAAGAGAAAGAAGAAATTCCTTTGCTCCCCGCCACCACCTCCTTTTCAGTGGTACATAGCCTTTTCCTAATAGCTGCTTTTTTCTGCACTACTCATTTATTGTTACACTTAATACAATACTTTGCTGTGTAAATGGTGTGTTGATGCATGTGATATTAAAACTGCATTCACTGGGGATTAACCCTTGGATATGACATCATCACTAGCCAATCCTTGATCTGATTTGAACATGCATTGACAAAAGTCACATTATCATATTGAGCAAGTGATTCTATATTGCCTGTGATGAATGAGGGAAGCAATGAAGTCTTCTTGGCGCTTTCTAAGTCTCAATTAGCTGCCCAGTTGGAGAGTTTTGGGTATTTCTATACTAACAGGCTTAGCTTAATAATAAAATTCTCAGATTGCAGTTTTATAGATCTCTTTAGCATTTGCATAAGGAGATTTTCCCCCTTATGCTTTCTTCCTCTTTGGGAGTTTTTCACCCTGTGTTCTGGCTCTGTTTCTTTACAAATATGTAAAGATATCATAGTAAATGGAATAATCTTTTGCTTTTGTTTTTTGTCCTAGAGATAGCCATGTAGGTGATGGGCTAATTTGTTTGAGTACGTGCGTTCACTTATTCAGGTGTTGGCTATAAATCAGTCAGGATTAGCAAGACGACTTAAAGTCCTGAAGCCAATCAATCATAAATGATTGGGAGGCCATACAGTGTATTTATCCTAATTTGTCAAGATTCAGGATTGAGGGTGGGGGATTGAGGCAATAGGAAACAAGATTCAGGATTCAGGCAATAGGAAACAACGGTATCCATAAAGGTATTGGTGAAGTGATCTTGGCCACATTAATCACTTCATAATTATTTGTTTTGAAAATGTTATTTCTAAAAGCCATGTCAGAACCTAGACAGCCCTGACTTAGAGACTTAATCTGTAGTATGACATTGCACTTTGTAATGCCCCACTCAATTTGTGATCTCCTGCAACCCACCTCTCAAAAGATAAAATTGACCTTGACTTCCCATCTATTTGATATCTGCTGAAAAATAAGAGAAATTTTTCCTGTTTTACAGTCACTATTCAAGTTCAATTCATTTTCCTTCAGTCAGTCAAAAGGCTCTTAAAAAAAAAAAAAGAAACATAAACTTAATTATACAATCTGGTTTAAGGAAATGCTCAAAGAATTTTAAATCTAGAAAGTACCTCAGATTTCACCTTTCTAGAAGATCAGGGGGAGGAGGTATTGCCATAACTTGGATCTAGTATGTTATTAAAACAAACAAACAAACAAACCTGGGATTAGAATCTGGGAGTACCCTAATTCCTAGCCCAGTGAGCTTTCCAGTGAAGCCTGGGAGAGAATGATTCCTGTGATGTGGTGGGACCCCTCCCCTTGGCTGTCTCTGCGGACGAGGGCCACACTGGCTTCTTGCACCATCAGTTTGCTAGACTACCATGCTAGTTGAGCCCACCTCAAGGATTGGACAGCTGTATACACCAGCTAGCTTGGGTTACTTCCTAGTAGCTGCCACAGTATCCACGATTATAAAGAAAATGTTTAAAGGGGAGCTGGCGATGGAAGGCGATTGGGCAGGGTGACTCAATTTGAACCTAACTGAACACATGGAAAGACATGGATGTCAAAATGATGGTCAGGCAGTTTAATGATTTATGGTTTACTTGTGAAAGAACTCAGAATGTTAATCTATTAGGTGATAGGCTGCGCTTTCATATTTAGTGTCTTTTAGTTGCTATAAGAGCCAGTACTAGCCAATAATTTGGAATAACATTATTTTCTGGCATGGTTGTGAATAATGATAATGGTACCCTACATTTGTTGAACACTTAGTATGTGCCAGCTGTTGAGTGTTGATGTTATGGAAACATTCTGGTTACTAGATGGCTTTCTCTATATGGATGAACTACTGATTTTCAGAGTTATGAATCTAAGGCAACATTGAATCTTTTTTAGTCATTCTTTTTAATTCAAAAGCTGTCAGGATCTTAGAGTAACAAATCATTAACACAAGCATAAAGAATTTTAATTCAGAAGTATGGTAGCATCAAATATGAGGGAGTTCTTGTTAATAAAATGACAAGACACTATTTAGAAAGATAATAAAGGCATGGGTAATTTGTTTCCTTTTATGAGATTGTGGAATTGTTAGTCCAGAAGAGTAAAATATCCTTATTGGAAAAATAGGAAGATATCATTATATTTCTTTTTTCTTTTTCTTTTCTTTTCTTTTTCTTTCTTTTTTTTTTTTTTTTTTTTTGAGATGGGGTCTCACTCTGTTACCCAGGCTGGAGTGCAGTGGTGTGATCATAGCTCTCTGCAAACTCAACCTCCTGGGCTAACGCAATCCTTCTGCCTCAGCCTCCTGAGTAGCTAGAACTACAGGTGTGCACCGCCATGCCCGGCTAATTTTTTATTTTTTATAGAGACAGAGTCTCAGCATGTTCCCCAGGCTGGTGTTGAACTCCTGGGCTCAAGCAACCCTCCTGTCTCAGCCTCTCAAAGTGTTGACATTACAGGCATGAGCTACTGTGCCTGGCTATTCTTGTATTTCGTATGAAGTAAAGATAAAACACTAAGCTTTTTTTTAAAAAAATAAAAATATGGCAGTACACACAAACTACTCTGTTGGCTTTGCTAGTGCTGTAAGTTCATTTCAAACTAGAAAGCAATAGAACATTCTACAGTATTTCAGTTACCTTAACAAAAGGTGGAACTGTCAAAAGCTAGAGTTATTATTTATTCGTTTTTGTTTTTTTTTTAATGACCACCGTGTCCGCTTGGATTCTTTTAGTTTCACGTCTGTGCCATGTGTTCTAAAGTTTTCTCTGAAAATTAATAGTTTTATTTCTTGATTTCTTCATTTCCATTTCATCTTTTTCTCTAGTAAGTGATGAAAATATTGATGAGTCTGTGGT